TAGAGTAAATAAAGTCTAAATAAAATTCATAAAGATCCCAAGATGTAAGGAAACACCAGAGGTGGGAAATATCAGTGAACTGAAATTTGCAGTTTCATTCCTCTATCCACATCATGGGTGAGGCTGCATGTATATAGGACAGGGTAGGTAAGAACTGGCTGCTTTCCAAAGTAGGAAGAAGATAGAGTTTCACTTCTGAATAATTGCATGTGCAGTACAGATCTGTGTAGTACTTGGCTTCATTCCTTTTTTTAAAATATTTATTTATTTTTTAGTTGTATTTGGACACAATATCTTTATTTTATTTACTTATTTTTATGTGGTGCTAAGGATTGAACCCAGGGCCTTGCTCATGCTAGGCAAGTGCTCTACCGCTGAGCCACAATCCCAGCCCGACTTCATTCTTTAGTAGGGATAGAACAAAGCAAACTAACAAATAATCCAGTGCTTCTTCACCAGTGCCTACTTCTTTCACAAAGAGAAGCTGACTTCAAGTCTACTGGTAAATGGCTTATTTTCACTGAAGTGGTGATCTTTATGTTTTTAAAGTGGGTACAGAATGCTCCCTTATTTGAGAGAAGAAACTGAGGTTGTGGGCACCAGGTAGTCTGTGGCAAGGCTCAGATTCTGATACTTAGCAGAGCCTGATGGTGTTCAAAGCTCAGGATCTTATCTCTCTCTTCCCCATTTTATTTTTCACTGGAACATTTGCTGTTCTTTCAAGCTATGAAGGGCTTCCGGTGTTATCATGCTTAAGGGGAAGTTATATGTTAAAAACCACCAACGGCTAAGCCCATACCAGCTGGTGTCTTCCATTGCCTCCTTCCAGTTTCTGGGGAGACCTGTGAGAATTCTCTTTCACACAGTCCTGTTCATGCCACTCTTAGGAGAAACAAGAAAGCTGAGCATTGGGTCTTCATTTAAAGCAGTATTGGGGAAAACAAGAGAAACATGAAAAGTTATGAGGATAATACTTAAGTTATATGAGTATAATACTTAAGTTGTTATAGATAAAAATCAAGGGTGAATTGAAAAGCTAAAGGTTTGAGCTCTATAGAAGGGGTTTATGGATAATTGTATTTAAATGTCATTTGGATTGAGCTGATAAAGGTTTATTCCCTTACAAACCAAAGGAAAGCATTTGTCATTTTGGGTAATGGTTGAGACTCCAGGCATAGAATAACAGGTACCTATGACTGCTATGTTGACAGACACTGTATTGTACCCTTCATTGGGACTAGAAAGTGAGAAAACCACACTCACACTAGATGTTATGGACAAGATGGCTGAGGAGCATTATTTCACTGGCCAAGTAAGGGGTTTGAAGGGCATATGAATAGAAGCATAATGAAGTTACCTCATATAAGTCACAGAAATCACACCCTGGCCCACATTTGACTTCTCCTTAGCCCATAAGTGATAGAATTAGAATGCAGATAAATCACCCTTTTTTCCTTCTCCAAGACTCATTCAGAATTACTGTACTCCTAGGTAACCAATCATAACTAGTATAGTGCAGGAATAACTTGCAGGCCTGAGATTGATCTTAGAAAGATTAAAACAATGGAAAGATACAAATAGGGTCAGGTTCTTGCCCTCAAGGAGTCCTCTCAGGAGGCTCTGGACTGGAGAAAGTCTGGCCAGGGAGCTGGGCAGAGTCCTATTTCCCTCTCATTTTTTACCCAAAGCTGTTATATCCCTAGCTGTCCTGGCCACAGTTGTCTTTTGGGGCTCCTTAACATCAGGAAATCTCAACTCTTCTAAAATACTCTATGATCAGTATTTGTAGCCAACTCACAGGGCATTGTTTCCAATTCCTGCTAACATCCATGGAAACCCAGGCCTCATTTTTCTATTCCCTTGGCTCACTGAAACTGCCAGCAGAGTGCCTTAAGCTAAGGGCTAAATTCTTATCTTGCCTTTAAGCACCATATGATCAGCATCTCAGCAGTCACTGGGAATCTACACTGCTATTTCTTACCTTTGCCTGTGGGTAACCTCTACCTTCCACCTTCTTCCACCCCCGGGGAGAATATAGGCCTTGCCAAACAGAGGCCCCCAGGAAATTTTCCAAGACTCACGAGATGTCAAGTCATCTCTAAAATTTTTCAAAAACCCAGAAAGTCATTTCAAAAGCCTAATTTAGTGCCCCCCTGCCCCAAAGAGAAAGATCAAATTTTCCACACAGACACAGCAAATCTGCCCCACAGGCTCATGTTAAAGCTGCAGAAGTATTGGTGCCCAGACTACAGTGAAAGCTCCCTGACCCAGGGGGAAGTCCACCTGGCTAAGCAGCTTAGCTGCTGCTTGGTGGCCAATGGCACACATTCATGAAATCCACTTACAGGGGATTTCCCTTTGCACTGGAATCAGCAAAGGTTTTGTCTTTCTGAAAGATTTCCCAGAGGAATTCATTTGCCTATGTGGAAAAACTTAAATTTGTATTTCTCATTTAGTCATAAGTCTTTTCAAATAAAGAAATACAAACTGGGTGCACACCTATAACCCAGCTACTAGGGAGGCTGAGGCAGGAGGATCAAAAGTTAGAGGCCTACCTGAGCAACTTAGTGAGACCCTGTCTCAAAATTAAAAATAGCCTGGTGCAGTGGCATGTGCCTATAATCACAGCAGTTTGGGATGCTGAGGCAGGAGGATTGCAAATTCAAAATCAGCATCAGCAAATTAGCAAGGACCTAATCAATTTAGCAAGACCCTGTCTCAGAATAAAAAATAAAAAAAAGTGACGTGTGGATGTGGTTCTGAGGTTAGTGCCTCTGGGTTCAATCCCTGGTACCAAAAAAAAATTAAAAATTAAAAAATAAAAAGGGCCAGAAGAGGTAGAGCACCCTTAGTTTCAATCTGTAGTACCACTCTCTCTCTCTCTCACACACACACACACACAAAAAAAAAAAACATAATACAAGTTTTAAATACTGAGCATGTACATTCTGTGAATGGTCTGATGCTTACTTTATGCTAGGCCCTGTTTGGTTTAAGGAGATGCTGGTGAGCAAAATACATAAGGCCACTGCCCTCAAGAAGACTGTGGTTCTAATCTAGCTTTCAATCTGTTTGTATTGAAAATGAATTTGATTCCATCCAGGAAGTATACTAAAAAGTATTAAAACGTACATATCATGTTTTATGCCTCAAAATTTGAATGAGCTGGGCATGGTGGTGCACACCTGTAATCCCAGCGACTCAGGAGATTGAGGCAGGAGGATCATAAGTTTAAGGCCAGTCTCAGCAACTTACTGAGGCCCTAAGCAACTTAGTGAGATCCCATCTCAAAAAAAAAAAAAAAAGTGGGTATGTGTGTGTGTTTGTGTGTGTGTGTACGCATGTGTAAAGAGCTGGGGAGGTAGCTCAGTGCAAAGTGTCCTGGGGTTCAATCCCCAGTACCAAAAAAGGAAAGAAAAAAAAAAGTTCAAATGTGTGAAATAATTCTCACAGCCTGCAGGGTGTGAAATATCCCATCACTATAGGACAGTGAATATCCAGAATCATGTCTACAAAGGAAGCAAAAGATTGCAGCTATGAAAACATTTCTCAGTGTTCCCTTTCTACAGTTTTCTGTTCAATTTAATAGTCACTGTTGAACTGTTATGAACCAATCCCCATGCCAGGGGTAGTGGAAGATATAGAGATGAAAAGTACCCAGCCTCTGCCCTGCCACTCTTGATGAAACCCACACATCTGACTCTAAACCATGTAATTGCCAATATCTGACCCACAAAAATGGCCATCTCTAACTCAGAGAACACTTAACCTACCATGCATGAAACCCTAGGTTTAATCCCCAGAACGGGGAAAAAGGCCATCTCATTTGGTTCAGACTATTTAAAGATTCAAATAATATGCCCTGGCCATATAAGTAAGAAAGAGATCACTGGCAGATTTGGGCTTCTTAGAATCAATGATCCTTAAAGGAGACAGGAGCTTGGGGAATGAGGGGTGATCAGGCAGTGCAGCTCAGAGCAGTGCCAGTATTATCCAGGAATAGAAATAGGAGAATGAAGTACAGAAGAAAAGGCTGAAAACATAGGTTAACAGCTTTGAATGCTAAAGACTAGATTTTATTCAACTAGGCATGGCAACACACACCTGTAATCCCAGCAATTTGGGAGGCTGAAGCAGAAGGATCCCAAATTCAAGGATAGCCTGGGCAATTTAGCAAGACATGTCTATAAATTAAAAAGGGATAGGGATGTAACTCAGTGGTGAAGCACCTGGATTCAATCCTAATACCAAAAGAAAAAGAATATAGCAAGGTTTGGCTGAGTACTTGGAATGTGTAGTAAAAAGGCAGGAATTGGCTTGAGAGGGAAGAGATTAGATAAGGAATTCTGTTTTAAACATTTTGGGTTTTGAAATGCCAAGTGGCTTAGTATGGAAGAGAAGATTCAGCTTCAAAAACAGGTTCAGTGTAAGACCTAATTTGAGACATCAGCATAGGGCAGGCTGTTGAGACAGAGGGATTAAATGAGTTCATCCTCCTAGCAGCCTTACAGAGAATTCTATGATTCGCAGGCAAACTATAGCAATTACAGAACACAAGCGCTCTCTCTCTCTCAGAAAACAATACTCAAAAGGTCGACTTGATTCTGCCAGTGGAGACCTGAACCAGAAGGGACAACTCTTATCAGTACAATTAGAGCTGGAAAGTACCCTATGTTCCAGAGATGCTGTTTGCATTTACTATTTTCTTAATTATGTTTCAGTTTTGAATTTCTTTTTCAGGTTAATAAAATAGAAATTTATTTTTAAAAACCACTCTTGAGAAATTGGAATTCTTTTATGATGTTCTTAGACATTCTTTGGTTCTAGGGGGGAAAACTCGGCCAACATTATGTTTTTGCATTTTGTATTCATTAACTAGGACTCTTCATTTGGGTAAAACCAAAATTAGCACGTTTCTACAATTTGAAAATCCACCTGCTGTTTTCCCAAGGGACATCCCCTTTTTTGGAATTATTATCATTAATCCATCCAACACTAACCTGCTCATCCCTTCTGATCTTGTTCATTATCCATCAAGGCTGCTAACCTCCGGATTTCCCCATTACCTGTATTTCAACCTTAGTTCCACTTCTAAAAAAAAAAAAAAAAAAAAAAAAATTGCTGTCCAAAGGAAGATCTTGCCAGGATAGAAGAAAATTCCGTTCTTTCCAGTGACTACTTGAACCCCTTCAGAGCCTACATTTTAGGGTTACTGCTACTGCAGCTGCTATCCTACCCACCCCGCCTCCGTCGTAGGAAGGAAAGTGGCAAGTAACGTGGAAGTAAGGAAGAACAACTAGCGTTCAGGTCAGACACAGGTTGGATGTAAGATGCCACTACTAACGAGATGTGATTACATTACGTGATCACACTGATAGGCAAATAACTACCCAGCAGCCCTAGAAATCTGCTTCGTTCTTTTTTAAAAAATACTTTTTTCTAGTTGTTGATAGATCTTTTATTTTACTTATTTATAGGTGGTGCTGCGTCTCGAAACCAGTGCCTCACACGTGCCAGGCAAGTGCGCTACCGCTGACCCACACACACACACACACACCTTCTCTCTTTTTAATATTTAGCTGCTTCGTTCTTGCTGTAGTCAACTCATTCTCAGCATGCAAGCCCTAAGACTGCACGACCCCCACTTCACCTGACCATCTTCCACAAGCTCAAGAGCAAGCCAGGCGCAAGCGCAATCCGAAGACCTTCGGCCCTCGGCGTCCCACCCCTAATGGGGGCGGGACCCTAAAACTCCCTCCTCGCTTGAATGAACGCTAGGGCCGTGAGTTCGGCCGGCCGGAGCGGAAGAAGACCGGCCGGTGCCCCGGAAGCAGTCACTGCAACTTCCGCAGGGGTTTGTACGCCTGGTGCCGGAGCTCCGGGGGTCCCGAGACTGTGTTTGAAGTAGTGGGTGTACCAACATGTCCCGTGGTTCCAGCGCTGGTTTTGACCGCCACATTACCATTTTTTCGCCCGAGGGCCGGCTTTACCAAGTAGGTGAGTGAATCAAGTTCGCCCGATGGTCCACCTGAATTGCCCTGTCATGGTTCGGCCTGGAGCAAGCAGACGCGACCCGAGTTTAGTCTGGAGCTGAAGCAGGGCCGGAGTTGGGAAGGAAGCGCCTAGTCGAGGTTGAGTGCGTTGGTGTTCACACCCGTCTGGAAGCAGGCTTCTGGGTCCCGAAGGCGAAACGAAAGCCTGGCCTCGTCTGGGCGAGCGCCGCAGCGCCTGAACACAAAGAGTTAAGGCAGACAAGGACTAATGCCTGCCTCTGGCTTCCTGAAGCCCTTTCATTTCCATTCTGTCCTGATAGGCCCAGAGTCTTATCTCCTTGAAATGATTGCTTCCTTATCTTCCCAACTCAAATGCCCCGTTTTTCTTTGTTTGCAGCATGGACTTCCTTGTCCTGTGGTAAAATCCACGCAAGCATTCAGAGGTTCCTGTGCTGTTTCTAGGGGTTACAAAAATAAATATTACACTCTGTCCCATACTTGGAGCTCACAGCTTAAAGGAAGTGATTGATATGTAACTAAATGGATAAGAAGGAAAATGAGAAGTGCCAATTTTCAAGTGTCTACCAAGTTCAAGACATCTTTGGAAAACTGTAGATAGAATGAATGGCTTCCAGTTATAGAGCTGCTCTTGAAACTGGCATCTTCTTTTAACCCACACCTATGGGATTGCTCCTAAAGTTTAAAAGCTGGTTCTGAATTTTAGATGAGGTATGATGTACTGTTACTGAAGATCAATTTTAGTGAAAAGAATCCTAAACTAGTTATCAGTTATTCAATTCAGTTCAATTGCAGTAATGTCGGAGTTAGGTTATTATTAAAAGCAGGCCTTTGACCTCTTGCCATAGAGAATTTAGTGTTAGAAGATTCTGTTTTACATCTGGTCTGTAATAGTTTTATTTTATTTTATTTTTTTAGTTTACTACCTTAGTGTCCTTAAAAATCTTAAGTAGAAAAAAAAATCGTAAGCAGAAAGGTAGCCTATAAATGACGTTCTAGTCACCTGTAAATTTTTAACAGAAGTAAAAATAATTTGGAGGAGGGGCTGGGGCTGGGGCTCAGCGGTAGCACTTGGCTGGCATGTGTGAGGCACTGGGTTTGATTCTCAGCACTGCATATAAATAAATAAATAAGATAAAGGTTTATTAACAACTAAAAAAACATTAAAAAAAAAAACAACAACACTTGGAGGGCTGGGGATGTAACTAGGTAGTAGAGCGCTTGCATGCAGAGGCCCTGGGTTCAATCCCCAACACCACCAAAAAAAAAAAAAGCTTGGATGGAACAGGTTCATTATATTGCTACATACTGTATATAATGTGGCAACAAACAGCATCATGTTGAATCAGTAACCTTTTTAACTTGACCTCAATTGAAAAATATGACCAAATATAAAACAAAGAGATGACAGCTGTCTCCTTGAGGATTTTTCATTTTTAGTGTTTTATTCATGAGTTTTAAAGAATTTTCCTATATTGGACTACTGCTGTGAGTGTTATTTCTGTGCTTTTTAATTTGTGAACAGAGAAAGCCACACTTAGACCTGTGTCTTGCCTATATCCTGCATTGTAGAATCTAGCCATAAAGCATCTTTTTGTTTTGTTTTTGTTTTTGTTATGGTGGTGGAAGTTAAACCCAGGGCCTCACACTTGACTAGGGAAGCACTCAGTCACTGAGCTACATTACCAACCCCAAAATATAGACTATTTATTTATTTATACTGGGAATTGAACCCAGAGTCACTTTGCCAGTGAGCTACATCTCCAACCTTTTTATTTTTATTTTTTTAATTTTGAAACAGTCTCACTGAGGTGCTGAGGCTGTCCTCAAACTTGCAGTCCTTCTGTCTCAGCCTCCCCAGTTGCTGGGATAACAAGTGTACACCCCTGTGTTTGGCCTTCAAAGCATAGTTTATATTGTTTCTCAGATTTGGTGAATAGAAAGGCTGAATATAGTGTCATTTTAATAGGATTTGGAAGAGAACATGCAGTTCAAAACAAGTTTAAGATCTAAACAGAATGATTTTAATATCTGTGCCTTGTTGAATAGCACTCTTCTGCTATTCAGGACATCAGTTAGACGTTGCTGAGAGAAAGAAAGTGAAAGAATGGTTAGTATGAGCAAGCAGTATAGTGGTGAAGAATTCAGGCCCTGGAGCCATACCTGGATTGAGATCCCTGTTCTGTACTAGCTAATTTGGACAAATTGTGTAATCTTTGCTTTAGTATCTTTTTGCAAATTAGGCTAATAATAATTCCTTCTCATAAGGTTGTTTTGAGGATTAAATAAGGCAATGCATGCCTGCTACATACTAATTCCTCATAAATGTTATCACGTGCTTTTTTGATTCTTTGGCTTTGGGGGGTGGAGGGTCTATTAAATTAGTAGTTCTGTAGATGTGGAATGTTTTCCTTTCTTTGGATCCATCTATGCTTAGTTCTCCTGTGAAATATATGTATATACTCATTATTTGTAAATGCTATTTATTAGGTTTATAAACTCTAGAATCCTCCAAAGGCAAAGCATCTAAGAATTGTAAGGTGCAAATTATTAATCTTAACTGCCAGAAAATAACATAACAAAAATAGAGTGATGATGAAGAAAAGATTAATGGAAAAGTAAGAATGTTCCTCATCTTCCATAGTTAAGACTCAAAGAGATAAATGTCGAGGATGGAGGAGTGTAGCTCAGTGGTAGAGCACTAACCTAGCATGCTTGAGATCCTGGGTTCAGTCCCCAGTACCAGAACAAATAAATAAATGTAGTCTAAAGTTGATAAATAGAGTTATAAATTGAAAGTTACAGTTCTAAACATAACGTTATAACTGTAAAAGTATAACATTGACAATGTTTGCTCCTAGTAAGTAGGGAGAAAGATTTTTTCCCCCCATTTTATACTCTTTGGTAGTATTTGAAATTTTTTTCTTAATATATGTACACAAGTATTTTGCTTGCACATGTTAAAAATCATAAAGTACTGTTGGGGATGGTGACACATGCCTGTAATCCCTGTGCCTTGGGAGGCTGAGGCAGGAGGATTGCAAGTTCAAGGCTAGCCTCAGCAACTTAGAAAGATCCTGCATCAAAATAAAAAATAAAATGGGCTCCAGTGTTAGAGCATCCTTGGGTAATACCCAGTATCACCAAAAAAAAAAAAAAATTAGAACACCTAGGTTTGAAATTTAGTTTTCAGGGATGTATCTCAGTAATAGAACATAATTTAGTGTGAGGTCATGCGTTCATTCCCAGAACTGCAGCAGGGCAGAAAAAGAAATTTAATTTCAGGGCACCTAGCTTGTATATTATAATGTTGTAAACCTTAAATATATACAATAAAATTTTATTTTTGGTACTGGAGATTGAACTCGGGGGTTCTTTACCACTGAGCTGTATCCCAGTCCTTTTTAAAATTTTTTATTTTGAGATAGGGTCTCAAAGTTGAGGAGGATCTCACTGAGGCTAGGTTGGCCTCAAACTTTCATTCCTCTTGCCTAAGCCTGGGATTACAGGCATGTGCCACCACACCCAGTTTAAAACTTCCTTTTTAAAAAAAAAATTAATTTGAGCAATTCCTCAGTTTACCAGTGGGGAAAATCTAGTTGATCACATTAAGGTTGGCTACATTATTTTCCCCCTGATGCTGGAGATTGAATTTAGTACCTTAAACATGCTAGGCAAATAACTCTACCACTGAGCTACACCTTCAGCCCTTTTGTATGTGTGTGATGTACTCAGGATTGAATCCAGGGTACTCTACCACTGAGTTACATCTACCTAGCCCTTTTTATTATTTATTTTGAATATACAAATATTAAATATTTTATATTTTAAGTTGCTGAAACTGGCCTTAAACTTGTAATTCTCTTGCCTTAGCCTCCCTAGTAGCTAGGATTACAAACATGGACCACCATGTTGAACGCCAGCCCTTTTTATTTTATTTTTATGTATGTGTGTATTTTTACCAGGGGTGTTTTGCCACTGAGCAACATTCCTAGTCCTTTTTATTTTTAAACAGGGTCTTGCTAAATTACCCAGTCTGTCCTCGAATTTACCATCTTCCTGCCTTAGCCTCCTGAGTAACTGGGATTATAGGCTTGTGCTACCACATGTGGCTGGCAAGCCGTGCTGCTTAAGGCTCCTCTCGTGCTTTTTGATGCTTTGCCGGATAGGTCTGGCAAAGAAGAATAGGATGGTCACTTGGATTTGTCTGCCAGTTGAACGTGAGGACTGCCTAGTTGCTTCTAAATAAAGCATATTGTTACGGAACTCAAAAGAAGTGGACTGGTAGAGAGAGATTGGAAAAGATAGTTTGTAAATAAAATGTGAAAGTAGTATTTATTATGTTATTGAAGCCAGAGTTCCTGGATTCGAGTCATCTCCACACCAAATGTGAGAATTTTCTTCATTTATAAAATGGAGATGATTCTACGTAGTTTTATGAGGCACCAAGATTTATTTATTTTTTATTGGTTATTCAAAACATTACAAAACTCTTGACATATCATATTTCATACATTCGATTCAAGTGGTTATGAACTCCCTTTTTTACCCCAAATACAGATTGCAGAATCACATTGATTACACATCCACATTTTTACATTATGCCATATTAGTAACTGTTGTATTCTGCTACCTTTCCTATCCTCTACTATCCCCCCTCCCCTAGGCACCAAGATTTATGAGTTGATATGTGCAAAGCACTTAGAACAGTGCCCAGTATATAAGCACTCAAATGTTTCGGTAAATATTGCTATTAAGAAGAAACAGGCTGGGGTTGTGGCTCAGCGGTAGAGAGCTCGCCTCAAACATGCAAGGCTCTGGCTTTGATCCTCAGCACCACATGAACATAAATAAATAAAATAAATATGTTGTGTTCAACTACCACTAAAAAAATAAATAAATATTTTTTAAAAAGAAGAAGAAGAAATAGCTGGACGCTGTAGCACACACCTGTAATCCCAGCAGCTCAGGAGGCTGAGACAGAAGGATCACAAGTTCAAAGCCAGCATCAACAACTCAACGAGGCCCTAAGCAACTCAGTGAGACCTTGTCTCTAAATAAAATTTTAAAAAGGCTGGGGGATATGGCTCAGTACTTAGGTGCTCCTTGGGTTCAATTGCCAGTACCAAAAAAAGAAGGAGAAACAAGTCGCTGATGTAAATGGAGTAGAAACTCAAATAAATGAGCTGAGAAGTACAATCATATATCAGTTAATGATGAGAATGCCTAATTAGTTGATCTCATTGTTGTGTGACTATCATAGTGTATACTTGCACAGAATAAGACAGCTACTACATCTCTAGGCAAGGGGACTACTATTGTATATGCAGTTTGTTGCTGGCTGAGCCATCGTGATGGCTGTACTTAACTGTTTGCTTCTTTTGCAATTGAAAAAATTCTTATTTTAAAGCAGTGTTTCTCAACCCAGTCTCCTCATGCC